CTGCTCCCCTCAGCAGTGTACTTCGTCGATCTGCCTATTCTGCTCCCCACTCTGTCTCTGGTGAAGCCTCTCGCCACCCCTGGGCCTCTGGCCTATACCCCAGTTCTGTATGAATAAATAAATAAATCTTTAAAAAAAAAATTAAGGACCAAAATGTGTTCTAACTTTACAATAGTGGATTAAAAAAAAAATTTCCCCACCCTTTTTCAAATTTCTAGTTGTGAACTTTAGAACTTACCCTGCATGGGGCCCTCCCTGGTGGCGCAGTGGGTTAAAGCGCAGCACTGTGAAGTTATCCTCAGCCTCTGCAGCATGCATTCGATTCTCGTCCAGGGAGCAGCGTATTTCAGTCAGTTCACCAGTATCCTCACCACTCTGTCTCTGGTGAATCCTCTCACCCCTATACCTCTGGCCTGTACCCCAGTTCTTGTATGCATAAATAAATAAATCTTAAAAAAAAAAAAATAAAAAGAACTTAACCTGCATGAATTCTCAAGAAGCTTAAGAGAGAGTGCCATGCTATAACAGCAGAGGTCTGCTTGTGAATTTGCCACATCTTCTAAAAGATCATCTTGCATCAATAAGTAATGCTCTTTAGCTGATCATACTTTTATAGGCAAGAGAGTCATGAGGCTGAGACTCAGGTGGATTAAATATTGAAAATTTTGAAATTGCTAATTTTCCACGTATAAACCTAAAAAGGCAATGTTACATTACATGGTGGTCTATTATGTTTGGACTCAAATGTTCCCTCTAGGAAGTTTTAATCAGTTTTATAAAAGGCAACAAAAGTAGTTTGACATTAAGACTTTTACCTAGTTTCCACCCTTTTAGAACCCTAGAATATTTATAGTTTTTTTATTTATAATTTTTTCCTTTTTTAACTAACATTGCATTGTCTTTTACTATGGGCTAATGATTATTTAAAATTTTGGATTAGATTCAGTTTGTAGAAAAAATGAATTTCACATTTTTCAGATTGTGTTATGTAGCAGCATGCACCCCCACCACCACCACCACGTGTCTCTGTGTGTGTGTGCATGTACGTGTGCATTTAAGAGTAGCTTAGTGTTTTTCCAGGAACATACTGGTTTTAGTGTGACCTTTCTACCCATTTTTCTGTTGGTGGTTAACATCAGCCAGATGATGGTAGATGCAGCTATTCTGACAAATTGAGTTACTGGTTACCTGAATTTCAGTGAGTTACCATGACCTCAGAAATAAGTATGATAATTAAGAATAAAAATTAAACTGCTATGAAGGAAAATGAGAGTACAAAGGATAACTGATCACGTAACATACAGAAAAATAGGATCCTATGAACTGACTCGATCTTATCAGTATCTCCTCTAACTGGTAGTACTGGGGAAAGATGCTAGTTGGCAATTCTGTACTTCTGAATTATGAAGATAGGGATGAAATACATGGTAATCAGGACCAAGAGACCTTGTGTGTAGGGCTGCTCCTCGGTAAGTGCTCCATTGTAGGTATACAGCTATTCTGAAGACCTCTCAGGTACTGTCCCACCCTCACCCTTCAGTTTAAATAAGATTACCCCTCAGTGGAAATCTGACTTGGAGTACAAGTCCCAAAGTTCACTCGAAGGTTTGGGACTTTTCCTTACTTACTCCACAGTGGTCTTTTCCTTTTGAATTATTTCAGTATTTGCTGATTGTCTGAACCATACTAGATAGGGGAAATGAAACTTTTCCTGGCTACCATAATAGGCACTATGTAAAGCCATATTGAATCTTCACAGCTTTCCTATAGGCAAGTACAACTACTTCATCTTATAGATAAGAAATTTGACCAGGGAAATATATAGTTGTAGAAGAAAAGCAAAATATCAGCCATTTCTGTAGTTCCTGACTTGGTGCTAGTCATAGAAATTGAAGGAAGTACAAAAATAACAGATTCTCTCAATCTGTGACTCCTAAGTCACCACTTTGTACCTCGTATGCCTTAGTGCATTATGGCCATTATATGGTTCTGAATTCATGGTACTTGCCAGAATTCTTGATTTTTTTGTTAATATCAGTGATCATTTCTAATGTTCAGGGAGTCTGTAGCACCAAGGGAGATCCATTGGAAACCCATCATGAATTTGTCACAGTTGTAAAGATAAATTATGTAACCCTAACTCTGAACTTCAGTTTGCACATCGCTGAAAAGGGCATGTTAGGAACTGACTCAGAGCACTGAGTTAGGTGGCTAATTGAAGCTGTGAATGTTACATGTTCAACACAGGAAATGCAAGATTATTATTATCATGATTTTGTCTTCAAAAATAAAAAGTTTATCTTTTATTTATTTACTTATTTTTAATCTTTTAAATGCATTTACATACATTTTACATCATTGTTCTCTTTTGTACAATATTTGCTTTCTCCTCTCAGGTGTAGTTCCCATTAAACTCCCAGCAATTCACTGGGCACCATCACCATGGTCCCTGTGCTCTTCCCTCCCCTGAAAACAAAAAGGTTTTATCTCAGGTCAGATAATAAATATGCTGTTCTGTTACGACACATAGTATCCAGGGTTCTCTTGGTTCTAGTTTGTCAACTAAATTCTGGCTCACCTATCTTTACTTTCACTCCCACCCATCAAGGTTATGTGGTGTTTAATGAATACAGACACCACACAGTTTAGAGAGCATTTGCGAGCAGGAAATCATGGAGTTGCTAGGGAGTAAGTTTTCCTATTTTCCACATCTGTTAAGAATAGACTTTTTTTTTGGTTTTGGTTTTGTTAGCCACTGGTATGATACATACTCTTTTTAGATAAACCTACATGTGTAGTCCTTAATTGAAAAAAGAATTTCTAAAAATCTTCAAAATCTGAGCACATAAATTATATTTCGTTCTTTAGGGTTTCTAACATCTGATTTAATGTCGGTATGTGTAACCTGGTAAAAAAATGTTTGTTTCAGAGCAGAATTGTATTTCTCATGACTGAATGTGTTGCTTCTCTGTAGCACAGTACGTGCATGTGTGAGTGTGTACACATTGGTTCATTTGGGTTTGGCAAAATTTTTTGTGTTTTGTGACATTTTGACTACCTATTCTGATGTTTTATCCAAAGCATTTTGTATGTAGCTTCCTTTAGCTTTCCAGTTTACCTCCTCTGATGTGGTAAGGAGTCATTTAAACAAATTGAAACACCACTTTTAAAGATCATGGTATCATTTTTATCCAGTGTTAAAAAATGATACCATTTTGGGGCCCTCCCTGGTGGCGCAGTGGGTTAAAGCACAACACTGAGAAGCTAAAGCCACTTCCGCATGAGTTCGATTCCCGCCTGCCCCAGAGGTGACCACATGGCGTGGCAGACCTCTCCTGACCCGCCCACTGCTCACCTCAGCAGTGTACTTCGTAGATCTTCCTGTTCTGTTTCCCACTCCGTCTCTGGTGAAGCCTCTTGCCGCCCCTGAGCCTCTGGCCTGTACCCCAGTTCTGTATGAACAAATAAATAAATCTTAAAAAAAAACAAACAAATAAAAAAGTGATACCACTTTTAAAGATCATGGTATCATTTTTATCCAGTGTTAAACCATATTTTTTCTTCATTTAATCCAGATACCTCATGAAGACTTAAGCTTCTGTCTACAAATATACATTAGTTAATAATTAAGCCAGTAAAGGTATTTGTAGGCAGCTTTGCCAAAGCTTCCATCCTTAACAGTGCTTGACAGGTCTCTGAAGGCTCTGCCTATGTTGAACACTGAAGT